TCACATTCACACTCTATGAAACAATAAATAAAATAAATTATACAGAAAAATAATATACATATAATAAATAAGAACAAAACAACCAAAAACAATTAAATAAAAAGAACACATGCATACCTATATAAATATTTACAATCTGGCGAGAGAACTCCAAACCAGACTTTTCCCTCCAACTGTGGAGGGAAAAGTATGACTCCAGGAGATCCCTGCACTTCGCTCTCAACCGCGTCAAGAAAGATCATTTTTATGTTAAGATATTTTGAATTGTTGTGAGAAATTATGTGATTATAAATGACGTTAGATAGCAGTATAGCTAATAATGAATTTAGCAGGGCAAAAAAATGTAAAAGTCCAAAAATGAAGATTTAGATATTAATCAGAAACTTGTGCAATTAGGTATGATGCTTGTTATATATCCTGAATCATACATTTTGTATATTTCAACAGAGTATAAATGAATTCATATTTTCTTGTCCAATTCAAATACCTAAATCATGTTATTTTAAAAATACATGTGTTTTTTATGTTAACTTAAGTTTTTGATGATTGAATAAATGGATCAATAGATCAAAAATTTATTGTGAATTATAAAAATATATAAAAATACTAATAAACAATAAAATACATGAATAATACTAGGACAATGTTAATGGTCCACTTGAAAAATAACCTCAATAATACTTTTTTAATTCTTTCAAATTATAATAGAAGATAAGTTAGTACCTTCTGTCTAGCATACAGTATTGGAATGCAGCATTTTTTTTTTTACTTTTTCCTAATTTAGGACTATTTTAGACGATCAGAATATAAGTCAATTAGTAACTTTCATCAATACAAAAAAAAAAAAAATCTGCTATAAATATTCTCGCTCTAAACTACGGGAAACCCTTGAATAGAATCTATAGAGTACTATATGGATGAATATCAGCGGTTCTCAATATTTTTGTGGCGCGGGCACATCCTATAACACAGAATACATGACGGGGCAATAGAATTTAAAAATAACATTTATAACATGTTAATAGATTATCAATTGACACTAAAAATAAAGTACCGGTCAGTGTATTAAGTTCTGAGAATATGTTAACACCAAAATGTTCACCAGTAATGTTCATGCTCAATCAGTAATGTTCACCAATTAAAGTGTTACACGTTTTTGTCTGTAACTTTTCACGTGCACTACTGGGCGACATAAGTTTTCATTCTTTATATCTAGCAGACATGTTAAATTAGCAAATATGCAAAACATAATTTCTTGTTTAAAAGCGGCGATAATAATTGTGTTTTAGAAGGAAAACACTTTTTTTTTTTTCCAAGCCGGCACGCTGGTCTTTTTTCCAATCTGAAAACCCATTTACCCCAGTCCTTGTACCTAACCCTCCGCTCCTACCTCTCTGACCGCACTTTTCGAGTTCGCTGTGCAACAGAATTTTCCAACTCCTACCCAGTTGAAGCCGGTGTTTCTCAAGGTAGCGTCTTGGGCCCCGTCCTTGATATATTTTTTACCGCTGATATCGCTGTCAATCCCAATACCTTTCTGGCAACATTTGCTGATGAGACCGCCGTCTTATCATCCAACTCTGATTCCGAAATAGCATCTTTAAATCTGCAAAGGCACCTCCTCTCCCTGATTGAGCACTGGTGTAATAAATTGCGCATCATCCTAAAAGAATCCAAATGCAATCACATTACCTTCACACTATGGCGCAGATCCTGTCCATCAGTCCAATTTAATTCCATCCAATTTCCTTTTTCAGAAACAGTCCGGTATTTTGGCTTTATCTTAGACCAAAGTCTAACGCGGAACCCACATACTAGACTTGAAAGACAAGAACTTATTCGACGATACGGCCAATCATACAGACTACTGATCAGAAAATCACAACTTCTAATTCAATCATCCAAATCCCCTAGCAAAATTCCTATCTAGTTCCACTCATCCCTACAATCCTCCTCGAAGGTTGAAGCGGCAGTTACCCATAGATCTTTTGTAGTATATATCTTGGAGTTCCGGCAATGGCCAGATTCTCCACTCAAGACATGAGTGTATGTGGCTAAAGCGCTCTCGCTCAAACTCCACTGGCTTTAGTACCAGTGACGCGGTTGAGAGAGTAGCGCAGGGATCACTTTTAGTCCTGCTTTTCCTTCTATAGTTGGAGGGAGAAGTCTGTGTTTTTATGGTTTTTAATTTACTTATCTTTAGGTTATTTTTTTTTTTATTGTAAAGAGTTTTGGACTATTATTTTAATTTTGTTAATTTTATATTTTCTGTATATATGGTGTGAATGTGTTCATATACCACTATAATTATTGTCCACGTGACAGGTTGCTATATTTCTAAATAAATAAATAAAATATATATATATATATATATATATATATATATATATATATATATATATATATATATATATATATATAAATTTGAGAACAAAAATGTTTTGGAGATTAAGGCAGTCCAAGCGACGTTAACGAAGAGCAAATGAAAAGCGTTTTCTAAAAAACTAAAAGTGATGTATTCCAATTAACGGAAAATAATATTTCAAAACTACGATTTTCAAAGTTCAATATAAATCTTTCTCAATAACTCAATTTTTATAAGATTATTATTTTTTTAACTTTGCAAAACTAATAATATAGACAGAATGGCAAGATATATTCTATTGACAAAAAATCTTTTTCTTATAACTTTATTTATAGAAATTTACAATTGTATTGAATATATACAACCAGTAAATATGCACAAAGACTTCTCGAGATAATACCCAGTGGTAGCACTGCTTAAATAATTTTAGGTAAGAAGACCTAAAATTAAGAAGACCCGTGATCTTCTTAGGGACCATTTTCTTTTCAGACACCTAGTAGAGTTTAGGAATATAGGAAGAGTCAAGGCTGGAAACAAGTGAATTTGGGTGAGACTGGAGTTCATATATCATGAGCTGTATCATATGACAGATATGAAAGGATAGATATCTGGCTCGGGCTAAATCAGCGACATACGGAACATTTAGGTCTTTATTAATGGTTTTATTTGTGACAAAATTCGGTTTTATTTGGGACGGGGCATTAAGGCTTTTGAATTATAAGGTTTGGAAACGATTGGAATTCGACTGTTTGTTGGAGCCTCAAAGCTCAACTCCGTATGTCCACATAGGTCCTATAGTCATGTAGATAATACTTTGTAATTTTTTTTTCTTTACTATTAAGAAATATTACAATCGTCCTCAGTTAAGGACACTGATAATAGAGTTCAGAGAATACAGTATTATGATTTATTATAAGTTTGGAGCGTTTGTCTAATAAGCGTTGGAGTATTCGGAAAATTCGAGCAGTTCCTTGTAGTTTCAGTTTAGAATGCGGATACGAAGTAAAACGTTTGTCCAAGTGGAGTCCTAGGCAGCGGACTTCTTCAAGAGGAATAAGTGGAATATTATAGAAAGATACTGTAGAACAAGACGTTATTGGTTTACATAAACGATGGTAAACGTGATTAGATGATATTTATTGGAATTTATTCGTATTCTCCAATTTTAACACCATTCATCAAGGCTTGTGATATGTGATTGGTGGGTATAGGATGCAATTAAAGGGTCATTATTAAAAGATAGAAAATATTTGCCATATTTGCCATTGGTGATGACAGTGTCAGGATTGTTTGGGATGTCAGCTGTATAAACTGTGTAGAGGATGGGACCGAGAATACTACCTTGAGGACCGCTTGCAGACAGAGCATAGAGGGATGAACAAACATTATTGTTATTTACTTTGAAGCACCTATCAGCAAGGCAAAACGAATTATGAGGAATTATGTAGTGGGTACAGAATTTACTTTAGGACGCCAGACTCTATCAAACGCCTGTTCAATGTCGAGAAAGACTCCCGTGCAGTACATCCCAAGCTCCAATGCAGAGAAGACTACATGAACCACACGATGAAATAGCTGGATATGCGATGTGAGGAAACCAAATTGGTAATCAGGGATAATGTTATTAGAATCTAAGATGGGTTACAGGCGTTTAAGGATAATTTTTTCTAGGATTTTGCCGATTATAGGTAATATAGAATTGGAAAGGTAACAATATGGATGTTTAGGTGGTTTTTGGGTTTGCGTATCATTTTGACAATAGATAGTTTCCAAGGATCTGGAAAATATGTGGATCGAAGCACAGCTTGAAAACAAACTTAATGTTACCTTCCTGCGATTATCAATGTTGATATATTTTTTTTTTATCCAGATAACTATTCTTCCATAGTAAACTTCTGAACCTTCCGAACCCTCTTGTTTCCAACCCTGCTTCCTCTTCTATTCCTGATAAACCTCCGTGGCGTCTGAAAAGAAGATGGCCTCGGGATCTTCTAATGTAGAAATATAATTGAAGTACTACCAATGGGTAGTTTCTCTTCATGCTGTACATGTAATGTTACTTATTTCATATTTACTAGTTTTATTTATCATTTAATACAGTTGTAAATTTCAATAATAAAAAAAAAACAAAGGTTATTTTTAAAGTAATATTTATGCAAGCCGATTCGATAACTCCAGGTGACAAGTTGGTTCCCTAAATCTTTGTTTTCAGTCCAAAAAATTAAAAACAGCAAATAATTATTTCCGACACAAAATTAACTTACTGTGGAAGTAAGTTATTTAGCATTTGACGCCAAATTATTTGATACTTCAGATTAATAATACATTCATAAAATTTGTTGTTATGGACACAAAAGAGAAAACAGATGAACCAGAAATCCACACTCTTAACACATCTTGAAAACAATGACCCCTTTTTCGAGAACAATGACTGGACTGACTCAGCAGCAGGAAAATGACCAGCCACGGTTAAACTACAACCGAAGAAGGATACAAAAAATCTAAAAACATAATGTATTTTTCTCCTTCTTTTGTTTTTTAAATTGCTATCACTTCTACGCTTCGAAGTTTTCTTGTTGGAGGAAAGGTTCACACTAATCGTTTACTGTCGTGGCCTGACACCGGCAATCTAACTCAATAATTAGAGTTAATCATAGATGGGATTTTATAACTTTTTAATTTCTTTTCTTAACTTTTTTGCACTCCCGTCCTTGAGATGCACATTACATATAAGCTCAGAGTGAGTTAGATCCATTATAGTCCTCAAGATGAACCGATCAGTGATCGTTGTTGCCCTCGTACTCGCATGCACATTTAGCTGCAACGGGGTAAGTACATATCGTTTGCACAAAGTCCATAACTTACTATTAGATAAACAGATTTAAATCCAGAACATAAAATATAGATACAGACGTTTATTTTAAAACTTTAATTGATTTATAAATGTCTGATTGTGAATCTTGAGTTTAAGTAGCATTTTTTTATAAAATATGTTTCGTTACTATCCGAAAAAATATAAATAATCATTTCATATCAAAATAAAATTTCATATAAAAAATATGCAATTAGTCCTTTCAAATCTTGATTACTTGGGTATTAATACATTTTGTTTTTTTACCGAAATATTTATCACGCTTAGAACGGAAATTAGTATTTTGTATTCTTCCTCTGTCAGACATCATTGAAATGAAATATTGAGCTTTTTTGCGGAGTGTCCGTCTTTTTTTAATATTGAAGGACTATTTTATAACCACTTTATATGGAAAATATTTGAAAAATCATCATTTTTATTTTTCAGCAATAAATAGAGTGTTTATGCATTTATATTGATTATTTTTCATCCCTGGTAATAAAAAAAACAATAACGAACGTTTTGAAGTAAATTTTGTAGTCATTTTGCTGAAAAAAACGGTGCATATAGGTAACACGATATCAAATCACAATTTCAGTTACACACCTTAAGGTAAATGTCAATTTTATCTAAATTTACCTTAAATTAATTAATATGGAATTAAATCTTATTAAAGAGGGGAGGGAGTTTTTCTAAAAGTGGGTATCTGTAGGATAGTTGAAGGGTGATAGCAAAAATAGCAATAATTTATGTTTTTTTTTTTTTTTTTAATTGAACTAAGCTTAGTTTAGCCGGAGGTTGTAGATCTTGAAGTCTCCTATACATATTTCTCTCTTCTTATGGGATCCCCTGAATATTTTAATAGAATCTATAAAATATTATGGAGGTATATCAGGGGTCCTCAATCTTTTCTTGGCGAAGGAACATCCAGATTACAGAAAAAAATGATGGAGCAATAGAATTAAAAAGGAACATATATTACATGAATTTACTATGACATATAATTTACACTAGTATACAATGTAGTTTAGATTTAAAGAGTAAATGAATGTTAATCAGTCCAGTTTCTAGTTTTATTTTATTAAAATACTTATTTATTGCGAAATATTACAATATGTCTCAATCAAGGAAATTCATAATGATGTTCAAAGAGCACAGTTCAGTTTCTAAAGAGAGACATTAACTAAAGTATATATGAAATAAACAATAAATTTTAAATAAACACAATATAATTTATTGATAACATTGTGATTAATAACAGCGGTAACACTAATAGATTATCAATTAACACAAAACAAATTGGAGGTCAGTGTATCAGGATCAGCGAATATCTTACATCGATATTTAATTTTTTTTTATTTATGAAATTTACAACTGTATTCAAATTGAAATGAATCTAGTAAATGTGAAAAGAGGAATAATATGCCGTAAAAGAATTGTAAAAAAACTACCCACTGCTAGAACTCTAATAAGGTTTCTAGATGAAATGATCACGTGATCAACGGTCAAGGGCAGTGGTCATCTCCCAGATTGCGGTCTTCCAAGCTTTAATCATGACAGAAATATTGGTGTTACTGGAAGAAGCTAAATGAAGTGATGAATATTATGGCAAAGCCCAAACCAACACAAATCATTCGTTATCGCTTGTGGGAAGTTGTTCTAATGTCTTATGCCCTGAAGGAACAGTGCGTTGCCAGCAACTCTACAAATCATTGTGCAGCGAGAGCCTAGATGAGGATCAAATTGGAATCATATTATTTCTTCAAACAAATCAGGTTTCTGTATTTATAGCGATCTTTGACGTCGAAGAGTCTACCGAGAGCAGGAGATGGGTATACTGCCACAGTTTGGGCTTTCTTCAATGCAGTCTAGAGATGCAATCTAGTTAAAAGGACAGACTCTACTCCATATTATGGAAGGCAATCTAATTGCCGTGCGTTATATTCAAGAAAATATAGAGGGATACATTTCTCAAATCTGGCCATAATTTCTATTTTTATGTTGATGAATGTAATGAAAATCTGGACATTTCACATCTGCCTCTTCTTGTATTGTCTCCACATCTCAACCCCATGAAGGATGCATTGCAGAGAAGGATTTTTGACCACAATTTGCAGCTTCTTAACCTTCAGCAACAGAGAGCTATATTACTATGGTTAAGATAAGAAATTTCTTATGAAATCAGTGACAATATTACCATCAGTGAGCTGTATTACCATGGTTAAGATAAGAAATTTCTTATGAAATCAGTGACAATATTATAAACAGTAGGCTCAATAGGTGAAGAGAGGTAATGATTAACATAGGATATTATACAAAATATTAAATTTTACAAACGTTTTTTATAATTCACATTCATGAAAACGAGATATATTAATATAACGAAATTTATTTTATTTTATTTTTTAAATTTCCTTAGGTCAAATAAAAATCTAATTTATATTAATTTACAATGCATTTTGTTGTACAAATAAAATAAGGATTCTAGGAAAAATAAATTATACATAACTAACAATATCCCAATCCATCTTTAAGGCAGTATAGTAGATAAGAAGTTTAGAGCGTTGGTCTATTAAGGATTGAAGTAGACGAAAACACCCAGCAATTTCTTGTCGTTACAGTTTGGTCTGAGGATTCCAAATTAGACGTTTGTCCAGGTGGGCTCCTAGGTAATGGATATGATCAATAGGGATAAGCTGGGTATTATTAAAGGATACTGTACAGAAAGCCATAGGTTTACGACAACGACAAAGGCGAAAGTAATTTGATGGGATTCGTCGGAATCAATCTTAATCCTCCAGTCCTGACATTATTCCGATGGAAACAAATTTTTTCTGACAAACACTTTGATGTTTCTTTCAGCAAGGCAGGAACCGTTAATCTTCGGTTTATCAGGTTGTCTGGCAACGCGTATTTTACACACGTTATCTAGGGCATTCCCTTTCAAGCCTGACAATCAGAACCATCCAAATGGTTGTGGTAGGTACCTGAAACAATAAATAAAATGTATTTATAAAGATATCTTCAGTGATAAATATGTTTGTTAACAGTTTGACGGAAGGTTAATAGGGGAAGCAATGGAAAGATGCAAAGCTGCACTCGAAAGAGAGTATGGTGAGTAACAAAAATAATTATATTAATTAATTAGAGTCAACGTAAATTAATAAACAAACATAAATAAAGGCAAAGAAATAAATAAATACAACATCCCATATCATGCAAAGACAAGAAGTAAAAGCTTTACAACAAATAATTGTTGTCATTTTTGCTGAGATACTTTTACTTGACACGATAACAAATCAGATCAGTTTTTTTTAAACAAAACTTGAGGAGAATCTCAAATCTTTCCGATATAAATTTTTATTTATTTAATAAAGACTTAAAGCATATTGAATGAAGCAGTTTTCTTTAAATCTATAGTATAGTTATATGATGATAAAAAAAAATTGCGAAAAATTTATAATGATTCTAAAAATAGAACTTGCCTTAGTTTAGAATCAGAAGTCACCTTTGAATGGTTTTAACAATAATAAACTCTATTTGTGTTTAAAGTAAATTTCATTTAATTTAAAGTGAAGCAATTGTCAATTACTTTAATTAAAAATTTCATTAGTTATCGCAATTAATCAAAAAATCTGACTTACTTAATAAACACAAAAGTTGTATTTCCTCCTTCTGAAAGTTGGCCCATTGTTTATATGAACTTTTTTTGTATCTCTAGAGGTCTGGTATCAATTCTATAAAAAGTGTGTTCATTATAACATATTTCTGGTCATATAAAAACAAAAAATAAAAGCTATACAATAATTTATTGTCATTTTTGCTGAAAACACCATTACTTCAGGTGGCAGGATATAAAATCTCATATTTTTTTTTTACACAACTTTAGATAAATCTCAACTTGATCTTCCTAATTAACTTCAACCTAATTAATATGGCTTCAAATTTTATTAAAGGAGAATTCTTTTCTAAAAATAGGATCTCTGTAGCATATGTGAAGGATGACAAAAAATTAATCGCGGAATATTTTTAAAAACAGGACTTAGCTTAGTTTAGTAGCACAAAAGTTCTCTTTAAATGGTTTTAACAATAACAAACTTTATTTACAATTAAAATAAATTAATTCTAGTTTGCTGAAGAGCTATTGTTAGCTACTTAACTTAAACATTTCTTTAGTTATTCCCTCCTATTCAACAAAAACATGACTTACTTTAAAAAAACACAAAACTTGAAATTTCTACTTTTCTGCTAAAAGAATTATTAATCTGAACTTTTTTGTACCTCTAGAGGTCTGCTATCACTACTATAAAAACATTTGTTTATTCAAGTATATTTATCGTAACACATTTCAGGTCACATATGGATTTTCTACTTTTCTGAAAATTGGCCCATTGTTTATATGAATATTTTTGTAACTCATGAGGTCTGCTATACTATTACGGAAATTCCCTTCACATAGGGAACACATATTATTATTTTTAATCCATGAGTAACATTTCGTTATAAATTTTCACAACATAAAAATACATTTTTATAGTATATGCAAGTCACATTGGTTCTTGTTATCTCAGATTTTACTTTGTACCAATCTCTCTCTCTCTCTCTCTCTCTCTCTCTCTCTCTCTCTCTCTCATATTTATTTACTTGTACTAATTAAAAGCTATTGATTTTATTTGTGCAAATTTATGTTTGTCTTTATATATATCTGTATCACTACTACCCATGAAGGGTCTTGGGTGCAGTACAATATGAGGAAGTACTGTTTCAAGGCCCAACGGTTGTGCAGGGAGGTGATGGGGCCGATGTCACACTCAACCGCAAGATATTCCCCCTTAATTATTTTTATAATTAGGAGTACCCACTTTATATAGGCTGGGTGTGCCCGAGGAGGGTCTCCCGATCCACAGCTAATGAAAAATTACTTGTCAGTAGCCGGATTCGAACCCAGGATCTTAAGCTCTGGAAGTCAGTACTCACCCATTGAGCTAACCCGCTCTCTATTTATACATATACATATATATGTACTGCATGTAGTGCATAATACTAGTAACTAAAGTAAATATATAAATATGAGATACATGACGTTGTCGTGTATCTCACAACTAGTGTATCTCACTACCCCTAGCCGAGTTAGGGTGGCTCTTCCCCTCCTTCAGAAGACAATACTTCCTAGGTACATTCCTTTACCAAGTAATCTATAATCATCGTCCGTCCTACGCATTCAATCTCCTTCAATTACTTGAATTGAAGATGATTTGCATCTATCCACTCCCTCTCCACAAGATCTCGTCCTTCTGACCTTTATACCCCTTTCCACAAATCTGCCTCATTTCAACACTCCTTTCTTGTCCGCTCCACTACCTTTTGGAATTCCATCCCACTCAAAATCCGCCATGCAACATTCCTTATTTATTATTCCTTATATATTATTCCTATCCTTATTTAAAACCCTCATATTCCAATTCTTCTTTACAATTCAATCAGACGCTGGGTAGCCATTTATCATGTCACGAAATTGCATTTTTCTCTATTTATCATATGTATATAAATATATATTCTTTTTTGAGCATGGAAAAGATGTCACGTTCTGTAATGTAAATGTAATAAGGTAAATACTTGTGTTATCACTTAGTTTTTAGTTATTTTTTTTTTATTGTAATATTTATTTTGGCCAGATGGAATGTTAATTTTTATGTACAAAATTGTTACTCTTAAGGGACTTTGTCCCAGAATAAAGTTGATTCTTCTATTCTATTGTATATATATATATATATATATATATATATATATATATATATATATATATATATATATGTGTATCTTAAATTACTGATGTTATGCACTTATAGCTGATGTGATATGATGCTGTTAATTGTTTTTTTCTATATTTTTAGTAATATACGTACCATTTTCTGTTTTTCTATTTTTTGACTGTTAAACTATATCTAAAATCTTTGCTTTTTAAAAATCCAAAATACTTTTATTTATTATGCCATGTAGTGACAAAACCGTTGTACTAATGTTTCTTAACATTTTTTACAATTATTTTATGTTTTGTTTCAGTATTTTTTTATTGTATTTCCTATTTATTACTTTACAAAGTTGTTTATTTTATCTTGTTATGTTGTTAAATATTTATGAAACTTATTGTTTATGAGGTTGGCTTATGTTCATTTTTTATGAGGGATTGAAATTTTATAAGATGTTCCATTTCAACAGTGAACGTGAAAATTATGAGGAAAAAAGTGTTTTAGATAAAAGATATAAAAAAATGTGCAATAATAAAGCTGCAAGTTTCTGAAAAAAGTTTTACTTGTATTTATTTAAGCTCTAAAAAAAGTTTCGTTAAATAAAAAATAAATAGTTACTGGACTTATATTATAGTTATAATTTTTCTAAGATGAATTACAAGTGACAATAATTTGTTTTGTTTTTTGTTTTTTTCATGATGCGCATAGGAGATGAGAAAAATTTTCCTTGAAGTTGGGCCAAGAAAATAAATAAATTATATATTAATAGGTACTTTCTTTAGAAAAATTAAATAGAAAACATGATCATCTACAACCTTTCCTTGTATAATAATTTAATAAAATAATCACTTGACTAATAATTTCATATTTATTTAATATTTAAATGGTATAAGGGGGTAGCAATAGAAACGATATGATGAAAACTACAAACTTGAGTATTCATTTTATTTTTTCAAAGATTTATGCCGGTTATTTTAATTTATTAAATCAAAGAAATGAATTCTAATCAAGTAACTGTTACACAAATTAATAATCCGTAACAGTTACATCTTTATTAGATTTCTAAAGCCAGTGCCATTAAGTTGATGGTCCAGCAGCAGAGATGGGCAAATGATATTGTGAGTACCGAGTACCAAGTATTTTAATCAAATTGAATCACTATTGGAAATTCAACCACTACTTCATTTAATCGTTTTACATCAACTGAAGTAGTAATTAAATTCTTTGGTACTCAAAAAAGATCAGTATTTGAGTAAAATACTTGGTACTCAGTACTCAGAGTAGCATTTGCCCATCTCTGGCGAGCAGTGGAAGATTTGGAAAACAAGAGTAGAATGTGATGGTGTGATGTAGTTTTTAATAACTAGTTAAAGAATGTTTTCAAAGACCTATATGTTCAATGTCATATTTCTAATTCTTCACTCATATCACAATAGTCACTTAGTTAAGATTGATTCCACCCCTAACCCATTGCGTTGACCAATAAAAAAAAATTGAAATTACTTAATTTGTTTTCTTAGTTTTATTTTTTTGAAACTAGGATAATTTTAAAGAAAAACAACTTAATATAAAATCATTATTGAATAATTTATTTAATCGGTGCCTTTAGTTTTTTTATTGAGTAATTTTTCTATAGTAGATTGAGGAATAATTTCTATTGATTATCAAATAAAAAACATATAATATATTAAAGAAATGTACTATAAAGTCTTATCTAGTTACTAATAACTAATAACCAAAACTGTTGATTAATACAGCCAGTGAACTACCTAGACCATAAGGGGCCTTGAATGGGCAGATTAATGTTTCAGGCTCTCCTAAAAATAATAAATAAAATTTAATTTTAAAAAGCAAGAATGTTGTAGTAAAACAATAACGTTGTCTTCTGATTAAAAAAAAGTTGTTTGACATTTTTTGGTGTTTGAAATAAAATTAATCATAAGATATAAAACTACACCCCTCTTACGGAGCCTATGTATAAATAAATATAAATTTATTTGTTTTCATTGTACTATATACTTTTACAGAGCAACAGAAACAGGAATTTGAAAATAAGAAACTACAGGAAACTGAAAATGGAAAGGTAAGCAATGTTTACGTTTAAAACAAAAATATTGGAATAATGTGACTTTATTTATATACTACTCTAAAGGATACATTAAAAACTAAAATATATATTGGCTATCATATTCATTTCTGTATTTTTTAAAACAGAGTATTAGTTCTCATTATTTTTTCTTGATTGTTATGAATCAGTATGTTATTTAATTGCAAAAAGACATTAAGTGCATTTAATAAATTGAAAGCTGAATTTTTAAGGAAGTTGTTGTGAATTTCGATCTAATTCATCTATATCAACTCTTTATTCAGAAATATTACAATCTGTTACATCTAAAGACAATAGTAATAATGATAGAAGAGTTCGCACTATTTACAATAAATTTAAAAAATAAACAGCTTAATAATAATACTAAAATTAAATGTATTATATAAACTTAAAGGAAACTAAACAAAACTTTTTTTTTGTGGGGGGTTCCTCCCCTTCTTCGCCGTTAAGGCTATACGGGGTTTTTCCGGACCAGGGGTTGTGGGCGGGGATTTAAAAGATGCCTTGGCACCGGGACGCGAACTCATGACTATTTTTGTATCATTTATCATGTATCAGGTTGCCGGACAACGCTGGCGCTATGCACAACGCGTTAATCTATTCGACCACCCAGCCCACTAAAAATGTTTTACTCTAATTAATTACTATTCTTCTCTTAATAGGAATTCTGGATCATCTTAGTTGTTCCAGCCATAGAACCACCAAGGATGCAGTTTTACTCTACTTAATTATCTTTTTTTTCTTCTATTAGGTCTTCTCGATCATTTTAGTTGTTCCAGCAAACTAAACTAGTCAAAATTACTACTTAAATACACACATTCTTTTATACTATATTTACAAAATTCATTCACTCAAGATCTTCTAGCTGAGCCATTTCTCCCACCCGTTCTGAAAAGACAGGAATCTGAGGCTGAGCAGAAGCGATATAACCAGACATACATGCCTTGAGAGGAGAATCTGGCCAATGCCGCAGGAGGAGTGTAGGAATAATAAGAGCTAGATAGGGATTGTGCAAGTGGATTTGGATGATATGTAAGGTTTTGATGGAATTTGGAAAATGTTTCAGCGATAATGTCTAGGACAAATGGGATATTGAGGCCATGCTTTAGGGATTTCTTGGTTATCTAGAACGGAGCATCAACTATTGTTCGAAGGACTTTGGATTGAAAAGATTGAGTGCTTTTAATGTTAAAAATATTGCTGTCCCCCACAGTTCTAGTTTGTAGGTCCGTATAGGTTTCAGTACTGCCTTGTAAATGACTAATTGGTATAGCCGGTTGAGTTTTTCTCTTTTGAGTCCAGTATGTGGGTACCATGTTCGTCTACAGTCTAAAAGAAAGCCAGGTGGACAGGGATTGCGTCGGAGTGTAAAGGTAATTTGTTGGCATTTGGACTCATTTAATTTAATTTGCCATTTATTACACCAGTTCTCTGTTCGGGGAGAGGTTCCTTTGCAGATTTAACGATGTTATTTCAAGATCAGAGTTTGATAATAAGATTGCGGTATCATCAGCAAATGTTGCAAGGAAGGTATCAGGATGAACAGAGACGTCAGCGGTAAAGAGCATGTAAAGCACGAAACCCACAACGCTGCCTTGGGGAACACCGGCTTTAATTGGAAAATGCTGTTCAACAGCGTACTCGAAAGGAGCGATCAGAGAGGTAGGATCGAAGGATTAGGTATACTCGTAAGTACTACGGGAGATGGATTTTTTAAGCTTGAAGAGCAGCATGGGGTGCCATATCCTATGTCCAGAAATACAGCAGAACAGGTCTGCTGATATTTGACAACGACTCGGTGTCCTTGTTGAACAGTAGAGTGTTTTGGAGGGGTAGGATGGGAGCTATAAGGGAACGAGTATAAGGGGGTAGGATTCGTATCAAAAGATTTTTGAAAGAATTGGGAGTAGACTAATTGGTTGGAACTATGCCAAGCGGTTGGGGGTTTGACTGGTTTGGGAATAGGAAATAGGGAAAAAGAACGTTTCCATAATTGAGAGAAATGGGCGGCACGTAGGATGCAATTACAGGTAAGAAGTATAACTGCTTTGGATGGAAGTTGTAGAAACATCTGGGGGATAAGGAGATCATATCCAGGAGAATTACGGGGGATTAGTTATTGTGATTGGAATTTCACTTCGGAAGGATGAATCGCTTTAGGAGGAAGGGAGAGTGGGATAAGTAATGTAAGAGATGCCTCTACTGTTACTGTGTGAGACGGGATTCCGGATGAGGAATAAATGTATTATGGAGGTGCCTGTCGAACTCCCCGGCTTTGTTGAAAAATGGGTTGGGAAATCTGGTGAGGTTTAATTATTGTTTTAGTAATTTCCCAAAGGGAATTGAACGATTCCAAACGAGAATCAGAAAGCGAGGATAGGCAGTAGTTAAAAGATGCGGATATATAGGAGGCTAATTTTTGCTTTAGTTTTTTGCAATAGTAATTATAGGAGCGGCGATCAGTGGAATTTCTGGTACATTACAATGATTTGGTACATCGTTTTATATTGATTAGGTCAAGGAAATGATGTAGTAAATTGTTCTTCATAAACATTCTTGGAGAAGAGACAGACCAAGCAGCTTGTTGAATTGAAGTAGTAAATGAATTGAGGCATAGTTGATATCATCGAGGATTTTCAGAGATATGTTTAGGTCTATGAGGTCTATTTTGTCGGAGAGGATTTGGCAGAAAAGGTTTCAGTTAATTTTGCCTCCAAGGAATGACGGTGGAGAAGATTTGAAAACGAATTCCAGTGAAAAATTAAGAATTAGTGAACTACGGTCAGAGGAAAGTTCGTTTAGATGTGTAATGCAACAATGGAGGGGACCAAAGCCGCTTTGGATGCAGAACTCTAGGATATCAGGATTACGGTTATGATCACTGTATAAGTACGCTAATACAAGAGTGACCGGAAAGGAGATGGTTTTGATTACGATAGCGGTGGATTGTAGGAAATCTTGGGTAGCTAGTGGAAGAAGGTAATGGGAGAGGGATTGGTGTACACGGACATCATTACCGGCTAGTGCTCTACAATCAGAGGTGGTCAGTACGATATGTCAAGTATTGAGGTATTTTGAAGTGCTGTTTAGTGATTAGCCTAGTTTGACTAATTAGTGCGTCAATGTTCTTCTCAAGTAATAAAACAGATAATTCGTCTGTATGGTTTCTTACATCATTCACATTCTTAAGGAGAATAGATATAAATTTGTTGGAAGTCATTTAAAGATTTTTTGTGAGAAAGAATAAATGGGATACGAGATAGATGAGAAGGGATATCAAAGGAATAACAAGGGATCTGAATTCAGATAGGAAAGATGTAAGTAAACTGGTAACCCGGGTAAAGTCGATGGTATTTGATGAAGGAGGAATGTGAGGAATTCGATGTAGCTTTAATTGTTGAGGATTAGGTGAAGTTTTAGTAGTAGGATGTTGAGGACGAAGTTAAGAATTTTGAGGTGTATATTTTTGTTGCGGCAGGTTCTTACGATGAATGATTTCGTTCTTGTCTCCTAATACATGTGCGAAAGATACCGTTGGATCTATGATTTCGAAAGGTTTACTTCTTGATCTGGAAATTCTTCTCTTGATATTTCTGCTTCATCCTAGTTCCGAGATTTCTGATATCTTGACTTGATATTCTTGTATATCTGACAGCCTTTGTAGTTCAATGAATGTCCTTCAAGGCACAAATCACAAACTGCAGGATCTCGTTTCGGTTTTGTGCACTCACTGAATTCGTGCTGCTCCAAACATTTCACATAACGCAGCAAATGATGGCAGTAAGACTTGGTGTGGCCATATTTCTGGCGATTGCAGAATTAGACGATTTCCTCCTTATGATACAGTTTTTCTATTATCACACCTGTATAGTACATTCTTCGTATTTCGTGTATTTTTTCGATCCCTTGAGTTGACTCCAAGTTTAAGAAGAAAATAAGGGTAGAGGAGCTTTTACTCCTGGCTGTTGTTTATTCTCTTTCAGAATATTTGTAACCTGGCCCACTCTGAAATATATTTTTTCAGTTCTTTTTCTATTGCTTTGGTTGGTGTTGACAGGTGTAGAATTCTTATAACTACTCTCAACGCGCGCCATCGGTACGTATGAAAATCTGGTTTGTTTTCTATTTGATATTTCACAGTTTTTCTGTAGGTTTTAGCTGTATCTGGTGATATGTTAGTGTCTGTTGTTCTGCTTGGACATGATTAGCTTCCGGAGCCTGTTATTTTGTTAAGTTGAGAGCGTAGTAACTGAAAATGTTTTGTTTTTAACAATTATCGGTTGAGGTTGGGGTTCTCTTAGTATCAGAGCGGTGTCCATCAAGTCTCTATCATTCTGATGCACCTGATAGGTTACAAAGATAGGGAATAAAAAAAAATGGAGATTCCTCAGTTAGTTCTTATGACGATGTACCTGATTGATGTTGAGGTTCTTCATTTGTCTCTTTTGATGATGTACCTGGATGGTTTTCATGTTCACCGGAGTTAACAGAGGTCACTGGAGGTGTTTGAAAAGATTTATTTTGGTTTGATAGGCGAAGAGCGAGGTGTTGAGCTTACTGAACTACCAAATTCTCTCAATACAAGCTCTATTACACATAGCATGATGGATATATCGCATAAAATATGTACCTTCAGATATTACGCTGAAAAACAAGCAGATTCTGAGAGCCGAGCTGGAAACACAACCTTTCGCTGATCGATCAGCTGTGGTTTGTGACATTAAATATTTTTTACAGTGCTTTTCGTCATGCCCACTAGCAGATCCAAGTATTTTTGGGGTGGGGGGAAAGGGGACTTCAGCCCAAAAGCTTTTTTTTTTCATAAAAATGACGATGATTACTTTGGAAAAAAAGAAGGAAACTAACTATCTTTATGAAATGGTGTTTAAGTGATTCCTTAAGTCCTTTTAAATGTTATTACAAGAACAATAATACAATTAGAGATAATTTTTTAATATATTTTTCCATAAAGCATGGTTATATTTTACTATATTGGGGGGGGCTTCAGCCCGAAAGCTCCCCTCCCCTCTCCGTAAATCAGCCCGTGGTCATGCCTGATGGAAAAATAGCCGTATTAAACAACATTTATTTGTTTATTCTTGATATTATAATATATTTTTAATTATCAACTTCATTTACAAAACTGACAATTATAAAATCTATATAATCTTCTTTTTCAGATCAAGGATGGTAAAATTGACATGAATAATACTTTGGAACTAAATGAAGAAAAAGTCAATGAAATATCAAAAAGGTGTTCTAATGGTAAGTATTATAGTCAATATTCTCTTATATTATTTCATTAGATATTTTTTGACATTTTACTAACAAAATGTAATATGAAGGAAGCCATCAACGTTGTTAGTGAATTCAATTAAAATATTTATCATATTTTTCTGTTGATATTACAATGTAATATTTTTATTTAGTGCACGGTACAGATAGCAAATGCTCCCTTACTTCAGAACAGGTAAAATGTATTATGAAGAATGCAAAAGAGGTAAATATTAAATATATATATATATATATTTATGTTTTAATTACAAATAATATAATATATATGACCCATTATTTTGTTTTATAGCTTCAACTTTAAATGCCAGAGGAAATAAACCAGATCCACTTACCATCTGTATTCCAAAAGGTTACTTAAAGTGAATTTTGTGAAATACTGATCGGTTCGAAGAATTCTAAATTGTCAATTATGAATAGAACAATGTTACTGAAAAATATATATTTTTTTCTTTGACGTAATTTAGTATTCCTTTGTCATATTTTTCTTATTTCAATACCGCTTCTCTGAATGTGTCCTTCATTTTGCAATGTTTTGTACCGAATTGCTAAATTATCTAATATTCATAAAACTTGATAAATTTGTTAACAACAATGCAGTGCGGCATGCTTCAAATAGCTTTCACTAACAAGCCAACTTTAATTTCAACAACTAAATAATTTAATTTCTAAAAGAACAGTTAAATAATTTAAGTAATTATTTACATTTACTATCGTAAGTAAAGTTATCAAAGTTATTACCATATTTTTCATTAACTCGTTAACACTGCTTGAAGTTTTTTAGTATAAGTCATTTTAATTCTGCCATCCATTTATATCATGATGATCATAGGTAATGTTTGTAATCAGAAAGCATGATGCTGTTGACAAGTAACAGTTGATGATTGATCTTTACACTTGGTTGATAAAAACAAAAAAATAAAGTTTCACCTACTCCTACCACCAAACATACTTTACCATCAGATCTTGAACGGCGAACTACATCGAATAGGACCCTAGGACCCTATAAAATTTAATTACGGAATTAATAAATGATAAACACAAACCAGCCTTTGAGAAAAGAAATTCAATTAATTAATTCTGGACAAATCAATATACATAGTTTCAAATTTGTTTAACTAATTTATTATTATTATTATTATTAATTTTAAATAAATAATTCTGAATAATTATCAACAATAATTATCCAGTGCCATCCCAAATAAATTGCAGCCCCCAAAAATTAACATTTCAATTTGTAGCTGAGCTTACGGCTTGCTGGTAAACTTTTTCGCCCTCTAAATTCTGCCGCCCAACAGTGGGACGAAAGCATCTTTTTGAGGACGAAATTCAGTTAAATAAAAGCTATATTTGACAAGTAGCAGTTGATGATTGATCTTTACACTTGGTTGATAAAAACAAAAAAATAAAGTTTCACCTACTCCTACCACCAAACATACTTTACCATCAGATCTTGAACGGCGAACTACATCGAATAGGACCCTAGGACCCTATAAAATTTAATTACGGAATTAATAACGGAATGTCAGATTGAAGCATCCAAGTCCAGATAATGAAGCTTCTCTAAATTGATTGGACATAATTGTTCTTAACAATTAAATAATATATGTAAATATAATAATTGATGAGGAGCTGGTTGGGGTGTTCAGTTTAAAATAGAAAATAAAAATAAATAAATGATATTAATCTTCATTTTTACCGATGGTTCGGCCCAATATTCAGGCCTTCATGAGGGCCTAAAAGACCAGATAACAATAGGCATGAGAAACTATTAACATTAATAAGAATATAATAAGATGTAGGTGAAAGATATAGTCTAATAACATGTAGGTATAATATGGTTTAATATATTCTCGTAATAATGTATATAGAATATAGTCTAATAACATGTAATAATTACTTTATAATAATTTATTTTATATTTTTTGTACATATATTGCAAATGTGATCCTACCACACTATAACTAATGTCCAAGTGACAGAATGTTAGAATATTCAATAAATAAATAATAAAAAAAATAGCATGTAGAATATAATCTAAAAACGTAGGTTTCTACCAACATGTTATTCTACTATAACTTTCACCTACATAGTATGATTTTCTTTTTAATGATAATAGTTTCTCATAAATGTTAATAATTTGTTATCTGTTATCTAGTCTTTCCTTTTAGCCTTGATGAAGGCCTTTGGGTTTTGGAACTTTGGGCCGAAACGTCGGTAAAAATAAAAATAAATATCATTTACATATTTTTACTTTGTATTTTTGACTGAACACCCAACCAACTTCTCTTCAATTTTCATTACAGACAACCATGAATTTACGATTAGAAATATAAAAATATATGAATATATAAACAAATAATAAATATTTACGTACATACTTATGTACACGTTATTTTATGTTATCAAAATCGAAGTTTAGCTCTTAAAGGGCAAAATATCCAATTTAATGCAACAAAAAAAAAATGTACACTTTGATCCGAAAATGCTAAAATGTGCAATTTCGTGCAGCATCAAATTTAAATATGTTTTTATACCAATCCTGAAACGGATAAATAATCGGATTTGAAGTTTTTACTCGCAAGCCAATAAAATGTGCAGTAATACGGAATTTTGTTTCTACATATAAGTAATACGGGTAACTTTTAAAATTAATAAAATTTTACATAGTTCATAAATAATTTTGATCAAGTGAGGCAAAAGAATATGTCTTTAAATATTAAGAGCGTATTCAATTAGAAATATTTGTTGTACTTTTTCAATGCAGCTTTTTGATTTCTACACATAAGATTGTCACATATTGTTACTTTGTTAAAACAATTTAGAGGCAAGATATTTTTGTAGATACAGTGTTGAGCCACGAGAATATTGTAGATTATTGCTGGTAGCCATTAAAACTGTGATTTTTTTAAAAATTGTCATACTTCATTGTAGCTGTTATCTTTGGCTTATATATTCTTCTCTATCGACAGTAATGCTCAATTTTTTTCTCAATAATTTAAGGTGTAGACTGAGGAGCAGAAAAACCATATTTTTAACAAAACATATATATTCTATTCTACAATAGTTATATAATGCTAGTCTGTTATGATTACTTTTGCTTCATTTCTAGAAGAAAAAAAAAACTTGAAATTATAATAGAAAAAGAAAAACTAAACTAAATCCTACAATTCATAAGATATCAGCTTGTTTTCTTGTTGTTTTTTTTTGCATATTTCATAAATTTTGAAAATGAAAGAAATTATTGCAATATTGGTTAACAAGTATTCCAAGCGTTGTTAAAACAGCGTAAACACACTGCTACGGAATGCATTGTGAATTTCCCCTAACGCTATACAAATAACGCTAATTTTAAGTCAATACAAAATGCTAAAAATATAGTAAAGATTAATATATGGATATATACAGTATAGGTACGCTAATTCGAAGGTCAAGTACACAAAATGTTTTCTAAACAAGATGTTACTACAGTTTGCACAATTAATAACATAACTCACATACGCAACGTTACACATATCAACGTCGGCGTGAAACAATATGAATTTTCCGTCGAATGATTCGTCAAATGTGACATGAAGGATTTACCATGTTTAAAAATCTGGTGCGCGTAACACAACTTTCTTATCGCGAAATATCTGTAGTGGTCTCAAATTAAATTCATTAAATGCTGTGATAAGAATGAAGTGTGGCGAAAACTGGGGACAAACCGGTACTCTAAAAAGAAGTACAGTAAGATATTGGAAAGAAAATTCCTCTGCACGATAATCGGAGTGATCCCAAATGAGATTAGTGACTTATGAAGGAGTAGGACAAATAAAGAACGGCTGAAAGCAACTGATTAATCATTATTTTAAGCGAATGCAAGGACATGCAGCTCGCAGCAATTTATTAGAAACGATTTACAAAACAACCATTCCCGCAATAGTTGGCTCGTAGTAGAGACCACATAGCAAACCATGAGCTATATGGACAGATGAATCAAGAAAGATGCTTCGTCTTCCAAACTGGATAGAAATGGACAAAAGGCAATGGTGCAAAGGCACTATTGATATAAGTATATTAAGTTGTGGAATGAATTAAGAATCAATTCACTTTGAATGTATCTAAGCAGAGTTAGATAATCCCTTCCAAACGATCCATTCTCCTAAAGCATATCATACCACATAGATTTTCTATTCATTCACAAACAACCTTTCTGCAAAGCTCCTGGATAAGACCAAATTACATTCCACATGATGAAACTTTTATCCGAAAAACTGATATATTTCTCATGTATTCATATAATGGTGTAATCCAAACCACCTAGATCTTGACCTCTGAAAAATATTCCTTGTCAAAAAGAAACCAAAAACCAAAAAGTTTCTAGAAGAATATCCATCCACTTGCCTTCCTATTTCTTTTTTTTACCATGAACAAATTCTAAAAAAAAGCATTTAAAAAATGCCTGCACCTCACTCCAAATTCTAATCGTGTAGTTCTAGACCATCAAGTTAAGATTTCCGCATCGCAACCCAGAAAAGGTGGTCGTTGTCTTTTCTCCATTGTAGCGCTGAATATACTTCATAGGAGTCTTCCTTGACGTTGAACAGGATTTTGGCACATTCTGTCACTTGGGACTACTATATATACTCCCTAAATTACTACAACCTATTTATTTTCTAATAAATAATGTTCGTTCATCTCTCATCACACAGTCTGAAGGCGCTTCTCAAAGGTGCGCATTCTACACACAGTTTACATCCCAATCTATCCTAAAACTGGCATCACCACCTACGGCGATATTAAATATTTTCTATATACTCATAATAACATTGCTGTCGAAACTGCGGTAGTAAAATTAAATTTCTATTAATCTTATCAAATCCCCTCGATCCTTTGTCATAAGCCTATGACTTATTGTCCTTCATTTTCTTTTACTAATATTTCACTCATCCTAATTGAATAGAAACGCTACCTAGAACTCATATTTTATTTTATTTGTTTGCTTTAATATTTTAGACAAAATCCTATTTTGCCAGGAATTTATATTTTGTTGAGGTATTAAAACCTCTATTTTATTTTCCTAATGAACTTTCTAAGTTGGTTGTGTCGAAATTTTGTGTCGTCCTTATTTTCATCAAGTTTAAGAATTTATTTGTATTTCCATGATTTGTTCTCAATCTAATTAAATTGTTCACCTCACTTCTTTCAAAATAGAGGCGAACCAAGGTCTTAAAGAGATTTTGGGTTGGGTTAAATAGCGGTCTCTCCCTTTGCTTTGAGGATTCCAGTCATATAAATTCTGTCATTCGTTGACAATTTTTTTACTTAATGAACGAAAAATGTCTGTTTTGCGGTATTTAGAATTAATTCTTATGGCATTGCCAGTATCTCGAGCAATTTGATCTGAACTTTTATTTCCGTGTAGACCCAAATGTCCTGGAACCCACCGAAATGAGAATTTATTGCCTGGTGTGGAAATTAAGTCAAGAAATTTATACAGAATATTATTGGCTGTTGGGGCCCTGTGTGCATGAACTCTACGTTAACAAGTCTCTTATTTTGAATCTCCATACAAGACTGAATTGACCAGAACTGAACTATAATTCCAACTGCTTCATTAAATATTGGATAAACGCTGTAAGCATTCAAGTATCGTAATTAAAAAAGGTAAATTAAAAAAGTAAAAACGGCTCATTTGTATGATCATATGAGTTTTATATGGATATATAGTTGAGTTCTGGGGTTTCACCAAATCAACTCTCATATCCAATTCTTACGACCAAAAATCCATAATGTTTCATATTTTGTCACAAATATAATCATTCATAAAGACCTTAATGATCCATACATTGTTGATTTATATACGTCAGTCTTATCTCGACTGTCATGTTTTGCAGCTTTGCTTCTTATTCAGTTTCTGATAATCCTCAATGCGTCTGAAAATGTGATTGCATTAGGATCTTCAAACTTGGAACTTTGAATTGAGTAGTACCATTGGGTAGTTTCTCGATAAGTGTGTTCATGTTATTATTCTTGTTCAGTTCTCATTTACTAATTGTATTTATTTTTAATACAGTTGTGAGTATCACTAAATAAATATAAAAATAGTTTGCTAGTGAATTGCTAAAAGCATTCTTAACGTAATGATATCTGTACCCCGGAAGTAAAGAACAAACTTGTCCATTATTGTATTTATTGTTTCATAACTTCAAGTTATTATAATTTATTTTTTAGTTACTAAATTTTTATTCCAGAGGTAAAGGACGACATCATGTCACACTTTTGTATCTGCTCAGGGAGCCCATTTCCCATAACTTTGAACCATTAAAATTTAGTTCTTAGCAAATAAATAAAAAAATGACCATGGTTTCCTCTTCCGCCGAGGCACAGTTATATACAACAAAGAAAAATATCTAAATGGTTTAGTAACTAAGAAAAAAGTAATTTAATCTTCAACCGGAACCAATATAATGGACTGAAGCTGTCTTAAATAATCCAATAGCTCCAAAATTTTAAGAGTCTGTAGAATCTGATTCATTCAGGGCAAATAAAAATAGACCTGGTTATTGGTACATCGTACAGAAATATAACGAACATTCACGGTTTAAAAAAAATAAAACCACGGAAATTTGTCAGGACATTTGAAGGTTATTAATATACATCGTTGTTTAACACACAATGCGTTCCGATTGATAGCTTGTTAACTTTCATATACATCATACATAATAATGAAGTATACACAGGTGGTCAAAAACATTTTTCTTCAAGCCAGGACAACTGTACAACTGCTATAAAAGGCAGAGTCTGTGGTTCTTTAGCCAGTGTTCTCCTTCTCCCTTAAGGTGAGTATTCCATTAACCACTGCACAGCGCGTGATGGAGACTTTTGAGTTTTCTATCCTTTCAATCTAATAATTAAGTAATCAATATGTAGCGTTTGAAAACAATAACTTTAAAACCTATTTAAATTACTTTACCTCTGGTGGGTTTTAGTCTTATCAGGAGGCTTGTTCCATCTGATTCAGATATTTGCAGTACCAGAGTTATGAAACCAACTATACATAAATTTAACCTTTATTTTTACAGTGAAGTCTGAAGAATATGGAGTTGAAGTACATATTATTCGGCGCTCTACTCTGTCATGCGACAGTGGTAAGTTTCATTTATTTCGAAAAACTTTTGTATATTTCAATACACAAACATAAAAAAAAAAAAAAAGAGCAAAAAAATTGTTTTCAGTAATCTATGTAATCAATACAACAAAAATAAAACTGCAACTTAGTGAATCAAACTTTTTATAAACTTTTCTAAATCGACAGAAAAAATGCAATTATTTAGTAAAACAACTATTTTTTCATTTTTAGATCGCACAGTCCGCTGCTAATCCTAAAGCCAACGCAAATACGAAGAAATTATTGGCAGCTCTGAGCAAAGTTGGAGACCGGATGCTCACTGGAGCTTTTGGAGGCTATAACCTCTTCGTTCATGAGGTCGGATTCTCCATGGAACAAGCTTACGGAATCCAGAAATTGACGAACAAGTTACCCGCCATCTATGGAATGGACTGCTCTCCGGGTTGGGAGACCACTGCTGAAGGCCATGAAACCGACATCATCGATTGCTTTCACCCACAGATAGTAGATTACGCCAAAAAGGGCGGCATCATTACCATCAGCCACCACTTTCCTAATCCCGTGTTTGCAGGAAACAAGGTTGACGGAAAAGGAACACTTACCAATTCTCAGTACGCCTCGATTCTCCAGAACGGAACTCCTGCAAGAAACAGATGGTGGAACATGATGGAAAAGATCGCTAAAGGTCTTCAAGCGTACAAGGATCAAGGAATCACCATCCTGTATCGTCCCTTCCACGAGATGAACGGAGACTGGTTCTGGTGGTCAGCTCTGCCCGATGAAAGCCAAAACGGAGAGAGGCAGCGTCTCTTCAAGCTCCTTTGGCAGGATCTCTTCAACTTCATGAAAAACAAAGGCCTGGACAACCTCCTTTGGGTCTACTCTCCCGATCAAAGCAGAGGCTCCAAAACCGCTTACTACCCGGGCGGTAATTTCGTCGACATCGTTGGTTTGGACTGGTACACAGTAGACCCAAACAGTTATGTTAACGGCTACGATGAGCTTCTTAGCCTTGGAAAGCCTTTCGCCTTCGCCGAAGTGGGACCATATGGTGAGAGTCAGGGACACTTTGATTTCGGACTATTCATCAAAAATATTGTATCTCGATACCCGAAGGCTGTATTCTTCATGCCATGGAACGGCATCACTAGTCCCATCAAGAACAACAACATTTGGGAAGTTTACAATAACCCTAAGGTGCTCAACTTGGGGGAGCTGAAAGTGCGTTAAAGTTTTAATGTCTCCAATCTTCACTAATGTATAATAAAACCGTTACTTTTTTAAAATGGCAAATTATCAAATATCATCCTTATCCATATGGCTCTTCACTCATTATCTTACTTTCCTTTCGCTAATATTATTTTTCATTTTTTTTTTCTACATTCATCCTTATAAAATCTATGAAAGGATTTAATCAGATTTTTTATTTATAAAAAAGTTGATGATTTAACAATATAAAATTTTCAAGAGTGTTCAACTGTTTTACTTGACAATTATATTGGTGAAGAAACTTTTCGGTAAAGTGAAATAAAAATACTGAAGAAGACCACTTGTGTGGTAAACACTTTGAAATATTATTTTTTTTATGTTGTATAGTTGTAAATTTACTGTGGCTTAACGTTTTTCTTTATACACTTAATTTTTCTCTAATATAGTCTGATTTAGAAAGATAAATAATTGATTTCTCAAGATATTTGAATAAAATTAAATAAATGAAAATATAGATTTAAAATTTGTAAGCTATTTTTTTATTGATTCAAAAAACATATCGCATAAATAGGTGACTGAAAAAATCACAAAATGATAAAAAATTCAAAATCTTCGCTTTTCGTCGGTGCTGTTTGAATTCATGAACAAGCGGAAGACAATAGTGCAATTTCCAACTAGCTTGTTCAACTAGTTTACATGAATACATATTTCATGCTTGAATAAAAATAGAAATGTGTAGACATATTATTCCTGAAAAAAAAAAAGAGGAATAATTAAATTACTGTCCTCACTTAACAGTTTTAGCACTTATTATTTTTACCAAAGAATTCAAATGGGCAAACATATTATTGAGAGGCTTTAAATAATGAAATAAAACCAATTTACATATTATAATCAGTATATAATATATAATTATAAACATTATAAGTATTTATCTTACGTTCCTCCTCGTTCTGGTGGCTTTTCAGCGGGTACTACCACTTGTTTCCATCCACAACATTTTCAATAATACGGGTATTTTCCTTCAGTGAGCAGCTGAGGGAAATCGTTATATGTGAAAACATAGACGCAGTTATTGAAGGTAGATGAGTATTACGACGTCTTTCAGCTTCGGACGCACAGTTTATTCGAAAAAGACAATTTAATGGACTCATCAAAAGCACTTATGAATCCAGTTTTCAATAGGCCAACTCAAACACTGGCTCTAGTTCGGTGGCAAAAAAGCTCAGTCTCTTCAAGAACGTAAGTTAATAAACTTAGGTTCAGCGCTTCTATCTCAACAACATTAGTATTAAATTTTAAGTATGAATGTTTTTCTTGTTAATCTTTTTTTTATTTTATTTTTTTATTTTACTTATAATTTATTAAATTTTGCCACGAATTTCTGTATTTTATTTAATTTTTTATTAAATTAAATTTTTAAAAATTAAATTTAATTTCTGTATTTCCATGGTTTTTTATAGTTTTTGTCTTTGTTATATAGATGTTTATATTTTTTATTATTTTTTTAAAGTATTAATTTTATTTTTTTTATTGTATGTTTATTTTATTTATATATAGTATGAATGGGCCACACTTAGCTTTAGTACTCAGTGCCCTTAAGTGTGGCAAAATGTATTATTTCTCAATAAAAAGATATTAATAATAAAATATTAAATAGATGGATATATCGAATCAACAAAGATAAAATAGATCTGCACGCATATCACTGGAAAGGAATAACAATGTCAAAAGGAAAAAAATATTTTTATTTTATCTTTCAGTAGTATTATAACTAGCATTTTCAATAAAATGGTGTCTTTATTAATTTAATTAATTAAAACTAATCTAATTTAAAAGTTAACATAAAATTGCAAACATTAAATTTTAAGTTATATATATATATATATTTATATATATATATATATATATATATATATATATATATATATATATATATATATATATATATATATATATATGTATATATATGTATCTATATATCTATAAATAAATATAAATACAAAAATGTACTAATTATTTGGTAATATGTTAAAATTTTATTTAAATAAAATACAGCCTAGATATTATGGATTCTTTACTGAACTACATATAGTAAATAATAAATGTGATGGAATATTTAAATACATAATATTTCAAAATCCAACATTATTTTTCTATTTAATGTAATATGAAAGATAAATTAGAAAAATACTAATGAATGAGCTCCACAAAGGATCACATTTAGAAACATATTAATTATGTACCCCAGAGGTAAAGGACACCATGTACATTTTATTAATTAAATAATTTAACAACTAAGAAATAAGTGTAATACCTCAAATTTATGGATAATTGCCTCTCTGAACGAAAACAGAAATGTGACAGCGTGTACTTTATATCTGGAGTAAAGATTTATTAAATAAGAGACAAATTATAATAGCTCAATTATGGAACTCTTGAACAAATACAACAATGGACATTGTGACCTATACCTCAGGAGTACATAATTGTTAAATGTCTAATGAATTGTTGCCTCAATAGTAACAGTGAAATTGGCCTATTTAACTACTAATATTCTATTTACAATTTATATCTATTAAACAATTTATATTCTACCCCGAATTCTTTCGCGAAGTTGAAATAAATTTTAGTTCTAGACCTTGACTGTTTTAGTTCTAATGTACAGAATTATAATGACCTTGAAATCTCATTAGAAAGACAAGAGTTAAATTTAATAAAATACAACCAGTAAATTTAAATGGTATGTATTACTTTCACTTGCCCATATATGAAATATATAGTAAGGAGAAAGTAATGATATGGTGAAAAATTTCGAATCCGCAAATTCTGTTAGCCTGAGGGTCCAGTGTTTTAGTTAAGGACTTCAAGCGGTTATTGAATTCACAGAGAAGATATGCGAAAAAACTATTTGATCGGTAATCTAACTAAATAACAAACTTGTGGATCTATAGACGGAAGCCTCACACTGCTAAGCGATAAAAAAGGATGTGTTAAGTAAGTGATTAAGTTAAAAAATGTATGTGTGTAATGTGAGGATGTGTCCAAGACCACCTCGAAAGGTAATATTAAAGATTAATCGAGGTTTAAAACATTACTAGAATCAAACTTCGAAATCATGTGCAAAAATATGAAAACCATCCTCAAGTAAGTAAAACTTGATGTGTTTATGATGAAGTACCGCGTAATCTCCAGGTTAATGACCAGGAGTGCCCACAAGAGTTTCTTGGTGCGAGTTGCGTCAACAACATTTTTGAGTGGGAACATTTTGACGTGGTTTTGAATTTTGGAGAGAGGCATATTTCGATGTGCTTATGAATTTTTGGATTGAAAATTTTCAAAACAGGGGGCAGGAGAAAAGCAAATTATAGAACACTGAAAGTGTAATTTTATATGTTCTATGAATATTAAATTTGTACTTTAGCTTGCACTGTTTTTAAGCAGAGAAGAGAAATAAAATATCTTACATATAAAATACCACTTGTTCGGGATGGGCACCCCTGTTAATGACTATGGTAATCTTCAGCGATTACTAAATGTTTACCTGTCCAGCAAAGCCAAGAATTAAAACTGTATTATAAAAATATAAACAATTAAAAAAATAAATAATTAAAACAATTACAACGCTACATATCAGGGTGTTACAACAAAATTGAGGAGGGAGCTTGGAGGTCCTTGGGTGTTGCAAAATTCACTCTATAAATACCATAATTTTTATCTACTGAGTAAAAAATATCTAGTTTTAGCATGATTTACATAAGCATATATATGGAAAATGTCGCTGGTTTCCAGACCAACAAAATCGACAATGAAAACTGTCTTGCTCAAAAAATTGTTTTTTTAAATCTTTACACCGCTACATGTCGTTGTGTAAACAATGGAGATCTTAGAAACACTTTGGTAGTGTAAAGTATACACCATACATACCACAATTTGTATGCATTTAGTCAACAATCACGTTGTTTTAATATTATTTACATACACATATATATATATTAATAACATAGACAATTCTGCTGATCTCTAGACCCGCTCTTGGCATTCACCGCGTGCCTTATGAACCAAAACATGAAAGCCCACAGTGAACACGAGGAGACGGGTCATACCATTGACTTCTTGGTGATGTCTTCATCCAAAGACGTTGATAACAGTAGCCTTTTTTTTTTTATTGATGTCTTGAACTGAAAATTTCTTAGTTAATCATTACATTACATTGCATTTATTATTACAAAATCTAAAGATCTCATTCACTGAAGTTCTTATAAACTGTTAGGACTTTATTGACAAAATATTTGTAAAATATAATATCTAAATTTATTCAATTTTCGATTTTTATATCAAATAATGACAAATCAAATGTAATGAGAGCAATTAAATAAGAAAAAGTTTAGGTAAGTAAAATACATATAATCATAAATTCATGAACACATAAATACTTAAAAAATACATTTAATAGCAAAATTAAAAAATATATGTAACAATGCTATGTAAATAACAATCATTTTAGTATAAGAGACCAAATTCATGGTGTGAATTCGAGCGAAAATCAATAAATCTAAAATTGTAACAATTTCACAGTTCACATTAATATTAATTCGCACTTTATTTTTAAGCTTAAAATTCATTTGATTCATTATTATCCGTGGTATAAACTCGGTTTTATCAAATTATTCACATCCACCTGAAACTTCGTAAACAGCTTTATTTCATCGTTACTTACAACTATTTTATTTACCAATGAAGAAAAGGGTGTTTTCAATCTGGAGAAACACTTTGTCTATTTTATTAGATACTAAAATCTCACAAGTAGGTATTTACCTACTAAGATTTAGTACCTTATTAAATAGACAAACTTTGCCGATCTCCAAATTGAAGAGGCCCCAATTCCGAGAGCTTTTGTAAATAAAATAGTTGTTGGTTATGTAGACATGACGCTAGCACGAAGAAGCTTGTCATAGTTTGATAAAAACGGGTCTGTACCACGGACTATTATGTTTTTATTCATCTGACAGATATTATTAATACAAGATTCAATAATTATTATTGACTTTTGCTCTGAAACTTCACGAAATATTGTATTATTTATAAAAGAACATTAGCAATGAATATTCTGATACAATAGTTCTGAAACTAGCATTTAGTTTAGTCAGATGTGTGTGCATCAAC